CAATAATAGTATTGGGTCTTCTGCTTGACTGGCAGTGTCAGAAATTGTTGACCTGAGTCCCCTACAGCTCAACATAACACCATGGCTTTACTTCTTATATTTCGTTTTTTTACTTTTCTGCTGGATGGTTAAAACCAAGGTAAAGCAGGACCTATGCAACAAGAGTTGTAGCTTTTGGGTCTGATAAAGTCAGTGAAATCCCCTCAGGACTTATCCTGAGATCCTGTACCTCAGATTGGAGAACCTTTGTCAGTGTCAGCTATGTGGATGAGTCATGGCCATTGCTTGGCCAATGTGCTCTCTGTGAAAGCCTGAGAGGATGTTTTCTCTCCATGTGACTCTCCTTAGGCACACTCTACATCATCATCGATCACTTTCCTCTTTGGCCCCGTAATCTCCTTGATCAGAAAATTTGGGACACTACCGAGTTACATGACATTACAGTACAAGTTCTCATATGTCCTGAGTCTTAATTGACCTTGGAAGGCTAGGGCCAAAATGTCGGCTTTCCTTACAGCCCTCCTTTTCATTTAATTTTGGTCTGCAAACTTAGGTTGTTAACCATCCAGAAGACAAGCTTATTGTTATTACCATACAACCTAGGCTGTTAAGCTTAACCTTACTATCTAGGATATTTAATCATGAATGGATGCTGAATTTTGTCAGGTGCTTTTTCTGCATTTATCAAGATGCTCATGTGACTTTTGTTATTGGTTCTGTTTACACGGTGTATTACATTTACTGATTTGCATGTGTTGAACCATCTCTGCAGTCCTGGAGTGAATCCTACTTGGTCATGATGCATGATTTTTTTGATGAACTGATACATTTTGTTTCTTGTATTTTGTTGAAGATATTTTCATCTATGTTCATTAAAGAGATTAACCTGTGGTTCTCTTCTTTGGTTAGGTTTTTTGTTTTCTTCTAGTTTTGGAATCAGGGTAATGCTTGTATCCAGAAATGACTTTGGAAGTACAGCTTTCCTTCTGATTTCATTAGAGTTTGAGAAGTATTGGGGCTAGATATTCTCTAAAGTTCTTGTAGAATTCGAAGTGAATGTGTCAGGACATGAGTTTTTCTTAGTTGGTAGATTTATTTATTTAGTAGATTTATTTTTAATGTTCTTCAATTTCTTGGCCTGATAATAGATCGCACAGTATCATATTCTCTTGGTTCAGCTTTGGTAATTCATATGTATCTAGGAATCTATTTCTTCAGAGTTCAGTTTTTCAAAGTAGGTACCAATGATCTGGATTTCGGCAGAATCTGTTACGGTTTTGCTTTTTTCATTTCTAACAACATGGATTTTAGTCTTTTCTTACTTTGGTGAGATAGGTTAGGGGTTTTTCCATTTTATTTTTTGTATTTTAGGGAAGGATCTACAGGGTGTTCAGGATCTCACTACTAGATCCGACTCAGTGATCCTCCTGTTTGCAGCCTCCCAAGAGCTGGGATTACAGGCATGTGCCACCATGCCCAGTCCCAGTTTCCATCTCAGCACACCCTGGGGGTGGGGCTGGCAT